CCACTACATTCAGCTCCTATTTTTTTTAGTTTTAGCTGTTTAAACATTCTCAAAAATGTTTTTAACTTATGTTTTTTAAAACCCAGGATGCTGGCGAATGTGTAGATAATGCGTTCGTGGACCCTCAACAAAGACTCGGTTCGTTCTCACAAAGCTGTGAACTTTACCCAGGTGAGCGATGACACACGTCGGCCTCCCAGCAGGGAGACAGTGGTCCGGGACAGCCGGCTACGTCTTTACGGACAGACTGTGCCTCTGTTCCCATGATACCACACCAGGCCTTTGCAACCCCCAGGCCTTTCTGAGAACCCTGCATCCTTCCCTGCCCAGCCGTGACTGCTCTGCAAGTGTCCACAGGGAACGTGGGGGCAGAAAGGAAATCGTGTGTTCTGTGGGCAAAGCTGGTCTTCAGGGACAGCGCCAGCGGGTCTTTCTGATGTACCAGTTGCTCTTAAATCTGGTGCTGTGAATTGGAGAAAACTATCTTATTTTTAACCACTCAGAAAAAAAATCCTCCTAATTACTTAGTTTTTCCTCCATGTTATAATGAAGGAAGAGGAGATAGCAAGAGTTTTTGGTCAAATTAGCATTTCTTAACAAGAATTGGCTCTTCTCACACTTGGAAAATAGCTGTATACGCTCCATGAGGCGACGTGTTACTGACACTGTCTGCTTCTCGGAGCTGCAAGACTGAAACATTTTCCATTAGAGTCACGCCTTTAAATTAAGCATTGTGGTCTGGCGTGGTGGCGCATGCCTGTAATCCCAGCACTCGGGAGGCTGAGGCAGGAGGATTGTTGCGAGTTCGAGGCCAGTCTGGGCTACAAAGTGAGCTCAAGGCCGCCTGAACTGCGTAAGAAGACTCTGTCTCAAAATGACAAAAAAATAAATGAAGGTAAATTAAGCACTGCTTTTTACAGTTTCTATCAAAGATGCAAAAACTCAGGGCAAATGTAGCATATTGACTGAACCCTATATTGACTGAACCCCCCATACCTTTTGGTTGACTGTTTCCCGAAACACACTGGCTGTGTCTGCAGAGGGCACAGAGGAGAGACAGGAAGTGAACGTCACACAGACAACCTCCCCTGGCTGGCTACCGGGTCTGGACAGCGTGTGGCACTCTACAAAAGCGGGTTCCGGGTCTCGTGGGGGGCAGATGCTAGGCTAGGCTCCTGCTTCTTCCGTGCACATGCTGACTTAAAGTCTGATTATTTCAGCGCTGGATTTTGTACAGCCACCCGTCCAAATTTGCCCCGGCTGCCCCACACACATACCCGTGGACAGCCCAGAGCTGCAGGACATGCTAACTCATTCCATTAAGAAGCTGAATGCAGGGAACAATGAAACTTTCTATTTCAAGATTGAAGCTGTGAAAAGAGCTACAGTACAGGTGTGTAAAGTACGTCACAAAAGCATCAGCGCTAGAGTCTGTGTCCAAATTGCTTACTACTTTCACCCTGAGTCTGGGCTCTGATTTGGGAAGCAGTAGAGCTGGCCATGAGCTTTGGTAGACTTGAGCTCCAAATCCCAACTAGGCAGCGTGCTTGACGTGTGATCTCAGAAAAGCCTCTTAAAACATTCTGTGTTCTACGTGTAAATGACTGCCGTGAAGATCAACTAGGATACCCATGTCAACAACAGCGCGATATAAACCACCAGACGGTGTATTTTGCTAAAATTTAGGGTTAGGAAAAGACTTTTATTCTATGCCTTCTCAGACTCATTTCTGTGTAAGATTCAGCGTCTTGGGCTCAGCCCATAACTGGCTGGACTTTCCACATTCTTTCTTCCATTTTCTTTCTACTTTCCTTCTCTCTTTTCTTTCTTTTTTCTTTTCTTTTCTTTTCTTTTCTTTCTTTCTTTCTTTCTTTCTTTCTCTTTTTCTCTTTCTTTCTCTCTCTCTCTCTGTCTCTCTGTCTCTCTTTCTTTCTGAGGTCCTGGGAGTGGAACTTAGGGTCTTCCCACTGAGCTACCTCCTCAGCCCTTTTCTGTTATGAGACAGGTTCTCACCAAGTTATCCAGAACAGGACTGGAACTCTTGATCCTCCTGCCTTGGCCTCCCCAGAGCTGGGATTACAGGTGTGCAGGTCTTTAGACTTTGACACCTTTATCTCCATTATCTCCACCTTATTTCTCCTACTTTTCCCTCTCCCTTACATCTCTCTCCTCATGGCCATCAATAGAGGATAAGGAGCCCCCCCACATGGAGTCAGAACACCAACTTCACCACAGCATCTGCCATTGTATCGTAGGTGACCTTAGGTAGCTTTGGCTTTTGTAAACAAGAGCCCAAGATGTGGTGGTACACCTCTATAACGCCAGCACTCTGGGAGGCTGAGGCAGGAGGATTTCAGGTTTAAACTCAGTTTGGGCAATTTAGCAATTTAGTGAGATCTTGTCTCAAAATCAAAGAAAATTAGCCAGGCGTGGTGGCATACACCTGTAATCCCAGCACTCAGGAGGCTGAGGCAGGAGGATTGTTGTGAGTTTGAGACCAGCCTGGGCTACCAAGTGAGCTCAAGGCCAGCCTGAACTGCATAGAGAGACCCTGTCTCAAAAAGAACAACACCACCAACAAAAAAAAATCAAAGAAAATTGAAAAAGGCTGGGGATGTAGCTCAGCGTGAAGGCCCTGGTTTCAATTTCTAGTACCATGATAAACGAACAAATAAATAGAGTCCAAATCTCTACCAACTCCAACATCCCATGGCCATCACCTCTATGGACAGACTCCTGCTCTGAAGGCTCAGAAGGCTTCCCTTAACACAAACTGAAAGAAAGTAACCCCACTGGAGTTGTTGCAACAAGCCAACAAAAGCCTCACAGTGTGGTGAGCAAATTCTTTATTAAAAACGCATACTTTTGGTTCAGGGATTGGATTTTTAGGAATCTAAAATAGAAGTCTTTAAAACAGTGATATTCACTGTGGTTTTAATTATAAGAACAAAAAAAGTGGGAAGCTGTCAAAATAATTCAAATAATTAGATAATGTCTGGCATCTCTTTACAATGGAAAGTTAAGTGGAATTTAAAAATACCTTAGGGAGATGTGGGAAATGTCTTGTGTTACAGTATTCAGTGGAGGGGCCCGGGGACATAGCTCTGTGGCACAAGCACCTGCCTGGTAAGCGCAAGGTCTTGAGTTAGATTCCCGGTACCAAAAAAAAAGCAATATTCAATGAAAAAAAGAGGCTGTAAAATTAAATATACATTACGTTCTCAATTACTTTTTTTTTTTTTTTTTTTACTTCTTGAGACAGCGTCTCATTATGCAGTTCAGGCTGTCCTTGAGCTCATTTTGTAGCCCAGGCTGGCCTCGAACTTGAAATGATCCTCCTGCCTCAGCCTCCCGAGTGCTGGGATTACAGGCTTGCAGCACCACACCTGGTTTATTTTATCGTTTTGCCTGAGTTTACATGTTTAATCCTGGGTGGATGCATTTCCAACCCAAATGAGATGCCAGTTCTCCCGAATCTCCCCTGCCCCCATGCTGCTGGGCCTGAGGCCGTGGATATTTCCCCTGCCTCTCTGCTCCAATGAATAAACATCAAAAATCAGTGCATGTAGGCCGGGCGTGGTGGCACACACCTGTAATCCCAGCACTCGGGAGGCTGAGGCAGGAGCGTTGTGAGTTCAAGACCAGCCTGGGTTACAAAGTGAATTCAAGGCCAGCCTGAACTGCATAGGGAGAACCTGTCTCCAAAAGACCAAAAAAAAAAAAAATCTATGTATGTATATTTGGAAGTCTTTCCTTGAACAAAGTCGAAGAAATATGCGTTATCTGAGACTTTTGATATAAATTGCCAAATTGCCACATTACTAGCAGTGGTGCCAATTCATACTCGCACCAACCAAGTACAAGCTGCTAGTTGGGGATCTTGATTTGAATTCTACCCCTACCAGCTCTGACTGAGGCTGTGCGCTGCCCACGGCTGATACCCAGTGAACACCAGGTACAGCCGCTGTTTCCATCCTTGGCAGCACGGACGATTAAGTTCGCTGCACTGCTTTCTCAAGTGTATGTCTTTGGCTGATAAACTGAACCTCGTGGGGTTGGGGATGTAGCTCGGCAGGATAAGCACTTGCCTGGCAAGCCTGAGGTCATGAGTTTGATTCCTGGTACAAAAAAAACAAAAAAAAACAAAAAAGAAAACTGAACCTTGTCCCCTCCCCCGCCACCGCCCCCAGGCCTCTTTTAACTTCTTGTCTGACCTGCCTGCTCAGGACTTTGTTTATTTCTTAGTGTTGGGCTTTACTTGCATGAGAATTCTGATCTGCGTTGTGGTTTGCCCAGTTTGCCTTTTACTTTGCTTATTGTGATTTTTGAGAATCAGTTTTCATTTTTGGCTACAGCCAAACCTAAGCTTGGCCTCCTTATTTTGTTTCCTTCCTCCATGTTTCACCTAAGGAAGGCCTTCTACATCCTGAGCTCTGATGAATATTTGTATCCTTCTAGTTACTTTCTTTAATTTTTAAAATGTATTTGGAAATTATATGAGCATTTATATAGATACTGGCTGTTCTCTACTTTAAAAATAAAACTTGGGTAGGATAGATTTGAGCTGGGAAGACTTCTGATAAGAATGGTGCTTGATAGTCATGACAATAGGGACATGATCCTGCAGCCTTAGAATGGAAAATACTCCTAGTTCTGCCTAATTCCTCCCTTCTGGGCCTGGAATAGAGTTAAGTCATAAACTGTGGTTTGCATCACAGACTGTCAGTTTTCTTAGCTGATATTACATTGACCAACTTGTTGTTGTTTTGTTGTTGTTTTTTGAGACAGGGTCTTGCTGTGTAGCCCAGGCTAGGCTTGAGCTCACTGTGTAGTCCAAGTTGGCCTCAAACTCCCAGGATCCTCCTGTCTCAGCCTCCTGAGTGCTGGGATTACAGGCATGTGCCACCATGCCTGGCATATTAACTGACGTTAATGTCAAGAGAAAATGATTGATTTAAAATACACACCTGAAAGGAGCTAGAGAATTCATAAACTCCAAAGTGTAGACTCTAGATCTCTCTAGGAATCTTCCTCCCCAACTTCCACACATACCTAGACTTTTAAAAGTTAATGAGTTCATTCTAAATGTTACGGCAGAAATTCCCCTGGCACAAATTGGGCTGTATTCCACAAGAGACCCGAATCTACTGAGAACAAAGCCAGAGTTTAATTTGAGGCTAGCCACTCTCACTTCCCTTGCCAATCTGGAAGCGGGCCAATGGCCAACTTTGTTTCACCTTATATACATTTTGGTTTCCATTGGCAACAGATTGGGATGTTACATTGGCTGACCCCAGTGGGCATACGGTGTTTCTCTCAGCCTGTTGGACCCCAGGTCAGTTGCAGGTCACATGTCTAACCGTGATAGATGTTTCCCCCATTATATTCCATTTGTCTCCTTTTTTACAACCTATGCATTCCTTTAGGGTTACAATGTTTACCTAGGGCCAGGAGATAGAACTGCCCAGGCAGGGTCATGGAGGGTTACCTAGGCCTAGGCGCTCCCTTATCTTGGGGAGATATTCCTGGGCAGTGTTGACCTGGGGAATTAGCTCTTACACTGTCCCGGGAGACTTCCCAAGGCACCATGCAGGCTTTTACCAAAACTATTTTATGTAAAATAATATGCTAAGATTCATTGCCTCCTACATAAAAACATAGCCAAAAAAATCAATAAAAACATAGCCATACTTATGGAGCAAAACAATACCAGATAAGATAGTTTAGTTCTTCCTGTGTCTCTCCTCTCTACATCCACGTGTCCCGTTTCACTGGAAATCTATTTTACATTGTAAGGGTCACTTGTTGAAGTATCTCTAGCATAAAGAGAGAGAAGACTCATAGTTTGCTTTTATAAGAAGACTTTTACAGTTTTGTAAAAGACAAGTTTTGCTTTTACAAGACACTATGCTATCACCCAGTAACTAGTTTTTGTTAAAATACTGGCTGTCCCTCCAGATCAATAAAAATATAAGGCATAGGTTCTTTCAGTAGTTAGAAAATATTACCTACACAAATATTTTACAAGCAAATACTAAATAAGAGGGTTGAGAAATTTGGTGCGGCCGGGCATGGTGGCGCATGCCTATAATCCCAACAATAGCGGGGCTGAGGCAGGAGAATCGCTGCAAGTTCGAGACCAGCCTGGGCTACAAAGTGAGCTCAAGACCAGCCTGAACTGCATAGCGAGACCTTGTCTCAAAACGACAAGAAAAAAAAAAAAAGATTTGGCAGGAAATAGGTATACTTGAGGGAAACATTCAGGTTTTTCTTCCTACTTCTTTGATTCTACTACAACTTGGACCCTTGAATTACTAGTGTATTTTGCAGCTATTGACCAATACAATTCAGAAAAAAAATTATATCCTACTTTTCTTCCATTTAGAAAAGGAAATGGGACCAACTCACAGCCAAATGTTTTATTGAAGTTTGTTTTCTTTTTTTTTTTGGTACCAGGAATCAAACTCAGGACTTTGGACTTGCTAGACAGGCGCTATACCACTGAGCTATATCCTTGGCCAGCCAAATATTTTAAATATAAATACAAACTGAAAATTTTGGTATCGAGTATTTGTACTTTTTTGGTATGTAATTCAGGTTGGTCAGCATTGTATACAATTCTTAACCATCAAGATTCTCCCCTAGGGGAAAAGAATACAATTTATTATACAGATATTTATTAAGCACTTATTTTATGCTAATTAATGTTCCAGATCGTGGCTGGGAAGAAATTTTCTATTGAGTTCACAGCCAGCGAAACCACATGTTCCAAAGAAAGCAATGAAGAATTAACTGAAAGCTGTGGGACCAAAAGCCCTGGTGTGAGTAACAGCGCACTGGTCTACTTTTTTCACTGGAAACCTATTTTACATTGTAAAGGACCACTTGTTAAAGTATCTCAGGAGTAACACTGGTCTCTCTTTTGGCTTCTGTTTTCATGAATAGAAACGTCTGACCTGCAATGCGGAGGTTTATGTGATACCTTGGGAGAAAAAAATCTACCCTACTGTCAACTGTGAAAAACTAGGAAAGGTACAGTTCTAATTACAGTAAGGATGGGCTCATTCTGCTCCTTTTGAAAAGAGAGTTGAGGCCAGGCATGGTGGTGCATGCCTGTAATCCCAGCACTCAGGAGGCTGAGGCAGGAGGATTGTTGCGAGTTCGAGGCCAGCCTGGGCTACAAAGTGAGGTCAAGGCCAGCCTGGACTGTATAGCAAGACCCTGTCTCAAAAAGAGAAAAAAAAAAAAAAAAAGAAGAAGAAAAAGGAGTTGAAAATGAATTATTACTGAAGTAAATTGGGGAGGGGACTGTTTTTATAAAGCAGGAAGAATTCTCATATTTTTGCGGTGATCTCTTTTTTTTTAAAAACTTTTTTATGGTGCTGGGGATTGAACCCAGGGCCTTATACATGAGAAACAGCGCTGGGCCGCTGAGGAACGTCCTGAGTCCCTGATCTCTCTCTCTCTTTTTTTTTTTTAATGGCTAGAAAGGAAAGCAGCAATTCTCTTGATCTCTCCTCATTCACGCATGTCCTTGGACGGTCTACGGGGTGGTAGTGAGCCGCGGTCCCTCCTGGGAGCCGCCGCTACTGGTTCCTCGCCTTCATGGTGTGCCTGGGGCAGACACAGCACCCCAACCACAGAGCACCGTGAGATACGCCCATCCTACATTTACCCAATCAGAATCCACATTTTAAAAAGATCCCCCAGGGGCTGGGGATTTAGCTCAGCGGCTCAGCACCTGCCTGGCAAGCGCAACATCGTGAGTTCGATTCCTGGTTGCGGAAGAAAACAAAACAAAACAAAAATGAACAAAATAAATAAATAAATAAAAAGATCCCCCGGTCATGCACATGTTTCAAGTATGAAAAGCATTCGCTTGCACCATCATTGTAAGCCTCAATGTAAGCCTCAATGTAATCCTCATTGTAAGCCTCATCATTGTAAGCCTCTTCAAAAGGGAGGTAAGTAGCATTTCCTCCATTGTTCAAGGTGAGACACTGAACGTTAGCCGCTAAAATCTCAGAGTAAATGACAATGTTAGTAAGTACTTTACCTGCCCCAGGCACTGTACAGAATGCTTTGCATTGTCCACTCATCCTTATAACTCTATGAGGCAGGTGCCGACATTAATCTTATTTTGCAGAAAAATGAAGCTAGTAGTGCTCTGAAGCAAGTATAGTTCAAATCAGAGCCCATCTTCTTCATCATAAAACAGGTGACTAGAGAATCTGGCTTAACTCCAAATCCTACAGTGACTGCCCACCGAACACTGTGTACAACTATTATGTTCTCACAGGTGATACAAGTGTTGGTGGCAATGACTCACAAATTCATATCTTTAGTACTATTTGCCTCTTCTATTTTCTGCTTTGTGTTCTTGTCATGTGTATGTATGCAGATAATCTAACACAACTTTACACAAAGTTTGCATGTCAAGTTCAGGATCGTGTCCTAATGTGTTTAAGGTCAACAAAGCAATCATGGGTACAAGCTCCCTGTACATTTCTTTCTTTTTGGGTACTGGGAATCGAACTCATGACCTCAGACTTGCCAGGCAAACGCTTATGCCACTGAGCTATATCCCAGGCCCCTATACATTTCCTTCATAAAGATACTTATGGCTTTTTAGGATTACAGCAGTAATGGTAATGGTAATAGAAATAGTATCAATTAGTACGTAGTGTGACATGGACTTACATAATCATAGGCTTACGAGATACAGTAGAGATGAGGCAGTTCACTCAGTTTTTCCAGATAAAGACAAAACTCTCCAATTTATTTTAGAGTATGATTAAGAACAACAAACAGTCGTGGTGGTGCACGCCTGTAATCCCAGCACTCAGGAGTTTGAGGCTGGAGGATCGTTGTGAATCCGAGACCAGTTTGGGCTACAAAGTGAGCTCAAGGCCAGCCTGAACTGCATAGCGAGACCCTGTCTCAAAAAGACAAAGAACAAAACAAAACACACAAAGAAATTAATGTCCACAAATTTTAAGATCAATCACAAGAGGATAAAATATTATTTATCCTTTCTGGCAAGTTGACATAGTATTTAAGATCGAGCAAAGACCTGCCCTATCATAAACGAAAATAACACTGCCAGATCTCTTCTTTCTTCACTGATAGCATGGTTTTTGCAGTAATGCGTTCATCTTAATATTTCCTGTTTAGATGACACTGATGAGAAGGCCTCCAGGCTTTTCACCTTTCCGAACAGCACAAAAACAGACAGCAGAAGAAACAATCGTAAGTCCACCCTACACTTCCACGGCACCTGTGCAAGATGAACAGCAGGATCCAGAAAAAGAACAAGAACCTACTCCTGGGCATGGCTGGGGCCACAAAAGGCAAACAAAACATGGCCTTGGCCATGGCCATAGATATAAGCATGGCCTTGGCCATGGACACCAAAAACAACATGGCCTTGGCCATGGTCACCACCAGGAACATGGTCTTGGTCATGGATATCAGCCTGAACTTGACTATGATCATAAACATCAAAGAGGACATGGCCTTGATCATGAACATAAAAATAAGCCTAAGCATGGTCATGGCCATGGAAAACATAAAAATAAAGACAAAAGCCAAGGAAAGCACAATGGCGGCAGAACAGAGCACTTGGCAAGCTCTTCTGAAGATAGTACTACATCTTCCACCCAGACAGAGGCGAAGACCAGAGGGCCAACACCCACTCCTTTCCTAGCCCAGCCAGGCGTAGCAGTTACCGTTTCTGGATTGCAGGACTCAGATCTCCTTGAAGCCATAATGCCTACCACGCCGCCAGCTCCCACAGAGAATGATGATGATTGGATCCCAGATATCGTGATAGAACCAGACAGCCTTTCCTTTAAACTGATACCTGATTTTCCAGAAATAACCTCCCCCAAATGTCCCGGACGGCCCTGGAAGCCAGCTGATAGAAAGCCTCAAATCACGCATAAGATTGAATTTCATGATTTTGATCTCTTTGATGCTCTTGATTAACTTACACAGCCATGATATTTCTTTAACACTTTATCATCCCTTTTTCCATTGTGCAAACATAAATATTCTGATCTGAGGCACCAAACTCCATGAAGCTTCAGAACAGCCTAGACAGAAGTGGTGAGATTCCCAGTAGGGATACCAGCAATCTCTGTGTTTGAGGTTTTGGGTTTTTTTTTTCTTTTTTTTTTTTTTGGTCTTTTGGAGACAGGGTTTCACTATGCAGTTCAGGCTGGCTTGAGCTCTCTTTGTAGCCCAGGCTGGTCTTGGACTCTCAATGATCCTCCTGCCTCAGCCTGCCGAGTGCTGGGATTATAGGTGTGCCCCACCACGCCGGACCTCATCAGTCTCTATGGACTTCATAAAACTGAGTGCAAGAGTGCTAAGTTCTTTCTCAGTCTTCCTCAGAAGTTTTCTAAACTAGCATAGAAAATGGACAAACTTATGGCCCACTGCAATTTGCTTCTCTGATAATGGATGTGTACCTTAAAATGTATGTTATTAATTTTCATGCAGAGATTCTTTCTATTCTGAATAAACTGTGGCACCTGACCCCTAAGTGTGTGTGAAAATAAGGGAAATCAAAAGACTGAGTGCTGGGCTGGGGATATAGCTCAGTGGCATAAGCATCTGACTGGCAAGCGCAAGGTCCTGAGTTTGATTCCCAGTACTCTAAACAAAAATTTTAAATAAAAAGAGTGAGTGCTGGGTTTATTAATCGGATAAAAATATAAAAACTTCCAGGTACAAAAGATGAATAATAAGAAAGAAAAGTTGGCCAAAGGGAAAGAAAAGAGAAAGTAAATTAAATTGACTTTCTGTTTTTGCAAGGGACTACTTATATGAAATAGGTACTCCTCTTTGTCCAGTATATTTGGGTCATTGCCTATCTAAATAAGGGTGTTTCTCCTAAGTCAATAATTTCTGTTTACCCATTAACTATTCTTTGCAACAAGGGTTTCAAAGAGGAGTTTTTGGTCTATTTTTGATGTTAGACTGAGTAATATTTTGTTTTCAGAAGCTTTGAGTTTAATGATAAGGATGAAAATCACAGGAAGTAATATAAAAGCAGGCTTTCACTGGGCATGGTGATGCATGCCTGTAATCCCAGCACTTGAGAGGCTGAAGCAGGAGGATTGCTGCAAGTTGGAGGCCAGCCTGGGCTACAGAGTGAGCTCAAGCCCAGCCTGAAGTGCATAGTGAGACCCTGTCTCAAAAAAAAAAGAAAGAAATTGAATGAGGAAATTCCTCTTTACCTCACCTTAAAATCATGAAAGAGACTAATATTCTTTCATTGCCTTAGTGCAAGGAAAGCAGATAGTCTATAACCCATGCTGTGTTTCAGCCTAGAGAAGCCAGGCAGGACTGTTAACAGCTACCTAATGTGGATGTGAATGTCCCTGCTATTTCACTTTATTAGATGCGCTGGAGCTCTGAGTTTGTAGTTCATTTCAAATATTGTTGACATTTTAAATAAAGAACCAATAATATCAGGAGAAACTTTCACCTTGTCAACCGGCTGTTTCACTCTTTTTAAATTGAACAATAATATAAAATTAACAGGGTTTTACTATACTTACAGAGGCACCTAAGGTCCTGCGAGTACAAGGGCCGACCCCTAAAGGCAGGGGCAGAGCCAACAATCAACAGAACGGTCTCTTGACCGGAGGGCGGATTCTTCAGGCCTGGTACGATAGCCTCCAACAACTGCTGCCGGCAGCCTTGAGCGGAGACGAGAAGAAATACGGGCTAACACTTAATAGAGAAGAATGCCAACTTACCAGTCTGTTCCTGGGGGAAATAAAGTTCAGACTTGAGTGATTCACAGTGGTTTCCTTTCCGCCATAGCCATCCTCTGGCCAATTCCAGCGGATCACCCGCACTGCAGTTCTGCCAGCCAGGCTCACTGCCCGAGGCAGGACTCCTTAGGTGGGGTCTGCCTACCAGCATCAGGGTCATGGTTGTCCTGGGCGCTAAACGAAGGGTTTAGCTCACGTTGCTCCCTCCCTTCTTCCCTGCCCCCTTGAGTCCTGCTAAAACTAGGAATAGTTAGACGTGTTTATTATTGAGTTTATAATCTAGACCACTACCAAAGAAGAAAAAAACTTGGTTAATAGGATGCCTACTGACTTTCCACCATCAGAAAATATCTAACCTTTGAGTGTAAAGATAACTTGGAGATATCGTTCCGATTTGGGTAAAAGAGGACATAGAAATGAACGGTGACAAATTTTAACTTTGAATGCGGTGATGGCCACGGACTGTGTCAGGCCATTTGCCTTTGGAGTACAGCTGTACCCTCACAGCCCTTCTGAGGCCCCGTAAGGAGCTTCCCTTTCCGGGAAAATCTAGCTCTCAGTGCCCCGCCCAGGGTCACACAGTTAATAAGTGCCAGGGCTGGCATTCAGACTCAGACCTTTTGAACTCCAGTCCACCAGGTCAGATCGAGGCTTTACCATTAATATTATCTTTACAAAAAACAAAACAAAACACCACACTGATCATTTCCGGCTCTGAGGCGGTCAAGATCTGAATCAAAAAAACTTCAAATATGTCACTGTAGCTGGTGCTATTCTGAGAAACACACAGGGTAAACTATAGTTGAGTAGCCTGAAGTCCTGGGAAGAGGAGACGTTTCAGAAGACACAAGTCCTTGACCTCAAAGAGCTCACCGTCCCATTGGGAAGTCAAGCACGTGGAAGAGAGACCGGGTCCGCCCCATGGTCGCCTGTGGAATCTCCAACCCACCCAGCCAGTGTGTCTGCAGGATGCTGTCAAGGCGGAGGGGCCAACTTGGAAAAGCAGCGTGGGGCACAACTGGGAGAGCGAAGTAGGCTCCAGCGTTCCTGGTACGGTTCCTGCGGTGCCGGCCCTGCCGGTTTTTCTCATACATCAATTATTCTGAAGATTCTGGGTGGCGTGAATCAGAATGCAGAGGCTCAAATCCCGTTCCAGCTGTCTCCAGACCAGCATGTTTCAAGGGGAAGGTGACACTCAGGGATGACACATGCAACCTACGGTTCTCCTTTTATTTACCAGCAAGAAGTACCGTTTCCTCTTCAAGCCTTTATTAGAGATCCTAAACTTGAATTTCCGATGACTCAGCACCTGCCTCGCGTACTTTTTTTTTTTTTTCAGCGCTAAGGATTAAACTCCGGGCCTTGGACAGGCTGGGCAAGTGCTCTAACACCGAGCCACACTCCCAGGCCCGACCTTCCTCGCTTTTAAAATAGCTGCACTCTCCTGTGACTCTGAAGCCCCAGGCACATCCAGGTTTAGGACGTTGGCCTTGAACCACAGCGCTTCATCCCTTTATGTTTCTCTTCAGCGAAGGAATTTCCTTGGGTCCAGTCCAGCCCACATTCTTTATGCTTCCGAGGTCTAACTCCTCAAACAGGAAGCCTTTATTGGCATCTCCCCCACCCTCCATTCCCTGCTGAGCTTGATTCCGAAAGACTTAACTCACAGGAGAATACAGACTTTTTGGCCCCACCCCAATCCGTCCCACGCCCGTGCTCCCTGTGAGCCAAGGCACTTATCTTTACCTTGTGGGAGAGGAGTAACCTCTCCGAGGTGCCAGTGAGGGCCCTTCAGAGCTCCCAGGGGAAATGGTAACGTCCACTCTTCCGGAAGCTCCAGCTTCCCAAAGAGATGGGACGTCAGGCTCTCCCCAGAGATGGCCAGAAAGTAAAGCACCATCCGGAGACCTCACAGAAATGCTCATGTTCAATCACTTAGAGCTTTTACCTTCAGCCTTTGTTTCACAGGAATCTCCCTTTGAACGCGGTTTTGTCTTTTGCAAGACTTTGATTAGAGGTAGTACGCAGTGTGTTCACGTCAGAGGCAGTCCCGTGAAATGGCTCAGAACCACGGTTCTGTAGTTAGAACTAAAAATCCCAAATCTGGCAATTTATTTTTCTCAAAGTCTAAGTAAGAATTCTCATCGGAATATTAGATTAATACTACAATCACCTCATAGGCATGTCATGAGGATTAGAGGTGTTCATTCCTGTGATTGCATTGTAATACTTAGCATGTTGTAAGCACTTACTCAAAACAAACCATTATGACATTGCCCGGACATACACAATATCTTCCTTTTAGAGTTTGGCCCTGGGAAGAAAAGTTTTTTCGGAAAATGAGATCTGTGTGACACAGCATACACTCTTTTTTGCCTTTGCGGGTATACTCGGGATTCGGTGTTGTAATCAGGTCAGATCAAATTGCTGGCAATATTTACTCCTTCATCTCCATTTCCCCTGGTTCTTACCCTTGGCTGCCATTAGAATAACCTAGTGCACTCCAGATTTGAATTCAAATCTCCGGCCGGAGTTTGGGGTATTGGCGTTTTTCTCAAATTCTCCACTGACTATAATGCATCTTGGATAAGAACAATTGGTGGAGGCCCTTTATTCTCTTTAATAGTAATTATCCAGTTCGATAGTGGGCTACTTGATTAATGCTTCTGAATCTTGCCAGGTGTGGTGGTGCACACCTGTAATCCCAGCATTTGGGAGGCTGAGGCAGGAGGATCCTTGCGAGTTCAAAATCAACCTGGGCTACACAGTGAGCGCAAGGCCAGCCTGAACTGCATGGCGAGACCCTATCTTAAAAAGACAAAAAACAAAACAAAACAGAAAAACACTTTCAAATCTTTTGCGGGGTGGTGATACTGGGGATTGAACCCAGGGCCCCACGTAAATTACGCAAGCACTCTGCCTCTGAGCTACAATCCCAACCCTTTTTATTTTAAGGCACAATCTGACTAAGTTGCCAAGGCTGACCTTGAACTCTCGATCCCAAGGTCCTGAGCTCCACATCTCTGAAGGCAGGCATTCAGAGCATTGTAGAAAGATTTCTGAGCTAGTGAGAGGACAGGAAGTGACGACCAGTGTAGCATCCTTCTCCAAGAGTCCAGAAATCTTTTATGAGGCAATTTATATATGACCCGAGGGCTGCTTCACTGGACAAAAGGAAAAGGAGAAAGGTGTGGGCATGGATATTTGCACAGAGTTACCCTGAAATAATAAACTTGTTGCCAAGCATGGTGGCGCACACCTGTAATCCCAGCACTTGGGAGGCTGAGGCAGGAGAATCACTGTGAGTTTGAGGCCAGCCTGAACTGCATAGTGAGACTCTGTCTCAAAAAGACCAAAAAAAGAAAAAAAAAAAAAAAGAAATAATAAGTTTATGCTCATTCACTGCACCTGTTTTTTGAGTACTAC